TTTTTTGACACTGCTGTCCCTCCTGCTTTGACAACGCTCTGGAGACTTTGATTCTTCGAATGCAGTATGAACATACAGCCAGCGTTATTCAACGAGGAGGGCCATGCTTGGAATTCCTCCATACATCCAGGGGCAGAAAAAAAGTTTGGAGTACGAGCTTCGTCACGTCACCGATCAGGGATGACGTTGCGTACGCCAAGGAACTGATGATCAGGTGGAAAGGAAATGTTATGCGAAATCGTGATTATCTCGGACCAGAGCAGCTGCTAAATGGAACGCTCTCGACCTCAAACGGGTACCTGAACGATCGCCAGCTCAATGATAAGGCTCCTTAACGATAGCTCTAAACGATAGGGATGCTATGCCTCTCGTTCCTCTAGCAGAGACTATCCGTTGGACCACGCCGGCTTGCGAATTGAACAAATGGGGGCGTCACTGCCGTCGTTTGAGAAAATCGATCATTACTGGGACGACTGGTGATACGGTTGATGCAACCAACACTCTGATAATATTTTGGAAAATAAGCGTAAATAACTTCTCTGGACTTCTCCTTCTCCTTCATTCCTAGTAATCATAATGTACATTTTTTTGAAAAAATCCAAATTGTTCCGATAATGCACAGAAGCGGATTTGCACAGATATTTTTTTCTCTGCAGAAATCCAACCCGAACATAACGAAGTAACATAGCAGTAACAAGTACCATATCCGATAAGTTCTTTAGTTAGCAAGTTCTCCACAATCAGTTGGTTGCCACTCTACAAGGCCCGATAAACGGTCTTCTCCTGAGGGCGAACTGTAGAGCAGCGGAATAGCGTTGGTCAGTTTTCAGCAGTCACCACAACGAGGCCTGAAACATCCGAGAAGAAGCCAAAGAACTAAAAAACCCACACGAATTGAAGGCAAAATCCAAACAACTCACAGCCATCTAAATTTTGTTGTTTCGGTGGATCACGTTTTAAACTGAATCTCCTGTGGTAGCTTACCAGGGTGCGATACGGTTGTGAACGCCGTATCTGCTAAAATAACTTTTTGAAATTGAAAAATCGGATAACAATTTCACTTTCAAGCTATTGCTTCGAAGGTCTTCAGTTGATCTCAAAGTAGCCTGAGACAAATGCGAGAACAACTGGCCGCCCAAGAAAAATGCCGGAGCAGTTGGGCCTTACAGTTAGGTTCGGCCAGCAGCTGGGCAAACTGAATACGACTAAGAGCAAGACCTACCGAGAAAGGCGTGGACGGGAGCTTCTCTTCCTTACTGATACAGCATAATCGAATGCAAGTATTGGAGATAACGAAAATAATCGAAAAAAATGCGCAACACACAGCCAAACCGCCAAAGTAGTCGAGAAGGTCCAAATGCTGCTTGAGGTCAACCATTTCCTGAATATGCTCGATACAGTGAGGGTCCCTCGATGTCGAAGAAAAAGGGGAAAGAAGACAGACAACAACTAGCGAGCTAACCAAACAAATTTTATTCAAATTTTAGTTAAACAGTAGCTTTGAAAGATCGTTACAGGATGTCTTCTCCTTCAATTGGGAGGGAGAGGGTTATGTTTTATTTCCCTCTACATCCTTTCACAACACCTTTCACCGTAATTTCAGGCCATTGCGTAAGCAAACAAATAATAGAAAAATAAGTAAAGAGAATCGAATAAGCGGTAAAATCAAGGCAATCATACCACACATTAGCCACCCATCCTTCCCTCAAATGATATCAAAGATTCCCGAACAAAGGGACGTTACACCACCACCTTTCTCCCACCCCTCTCCCCCGCTCCCCTTTTGTACCTCTTCTGGGTAAAGAGTTACGAGAATTGCGGAGAATTGGCTTGCGAAGGCCTACAATACTTAGTACAGTACCCTGGCGAACTTTTTTCAACAACACCTTCTCCCTGAAGTGATGCTAGGGCACGCCACTTGTCCTCTGTCTGTCTTCGAAAGAAGTGTTTCTCGTGGTCTCTTTGAAGAAATTAGATTCTGTTGCTACCGTTGCCTTGGTTGGCCAACACGAGGCAAAAAGTCAGTGCTTATCAACTTTTGTACCGAGTTTTCTCTACTGCTTTTTGTAGGAGAACTCCTGGGATAACAGGGAAAACTTGGTAGAGTTCCATCTGCTTTCCTCCTTAATTTCAGTTTTGAGTTTCAGCTAAAAGCTGCAGAGGTCTGCAGGTAAATAGTACAGAGCTCGAACAATGGGGCTCACTTAATTGCATTTTAAAGAAGAATTTTGAAGTAGAGAAAAAATGGTGTTCTCTACCGGGACAGAATGAAATGAATATGTGAGGTGTCCGATTTCGATTCGCGATTTTCTGTTAGGAAATTGATCAAAAATGACGAATGGACGAGAATAGCCATTTACGATCGCTTTATTATCGCTGCTATTTCTCACAATCTTCATTGAAAAGACGACATACACAAAGGGTAACAGACAATTGCTACGTGGATACGCTTTGTACCAGTTGGGGGCAGGCGTGCTGAGCTTAG